AGTCTGACCTTTTAAAACAGGTTCTCAGGCTTGAACTTGGCTCCTACTGCTTGTACAGCATGCCCTCTATTGATAATCTCCTCAGCCCCCACAATAATAATTTTTAAAAAGGAACGCAGTAGTTGACAGGTCACTTTGGGAGACTACTCAAGTTCCGACTCATTAATCTATCAAAGTAAAGAGAAAAATCTAATATTTTATCCTACCTTCCTGTTCAAATTATACTTTAATTAATGAGGGAAATCTTACTTTATAAAAGCATCCCAATAATTTGAAACCACAGCAGTGGAAATAACCAAATGGTGTAACAGAAAGTAATTATTTACATTTAAAAACAAGTTGAGATCTTAAAAGTTGAAAATAATAGCTGAAAGGAGTTGGTATGACTATACTGAATGTCACAAAAAATAAAATTTGAGATAAAAAATTATTACCAGAGTCAAAGAACATTTCTAGTAATAAAAATGTCAATCCATCAAAAGGAGGCACAAGCACTATAAACATACTTAGCAATGGAGCCAAAAGAAATCTATGACATAAAAATAATGGCAGAACTAGAAGGAGAAATCATTGGCATTACTATATCCCACCTTTGATAACATATGGAACAATTATAGAAATATCCACAGGGAAATAAAGAAATTCAAACATTATGATAAACCAAAAAGATGTGACAGAAACAGAGCACTCCAGCCAGCAAGAGGTCGCTCTATCTATCTATCTATCTATCTATCTATCTATCTATCTATCTATCTATCTCTGATGGATGCAGAAGAACACTCTCTAGTACAGACAAAAGCAGCTAAGTCATCAAACAGCCTAGATAGATTCTTAAGGGAGCTAGCCATCTCCAGTCTGCTTTGACAAATTACTTGAAGTAATCAACTTAAAGAGAGAACAGGTTTGCCTGGCTTACCGTTTCAAACATTTCAGTACATCATCCTTGGCCCTGGTGTCTTGGGCCTATGGAGATACAGACAAACAGAACAGCACTGTGTGATTACATGGGTCAACCTCAAGGCAACCAGAAAGCCAAGCCAGTAAAAATGGGGGCGGGAGAATATAATATAATTCATCACCAATGAACTAACTTTCTACTGTCTCACTTCCCAGCAATTACATCACCTCTCAATAGTTCCATAACCAAGGACCCAGCCTCTATCTAACACACACAAGGTCCTTTGGAGACATTCAAGATTCAAATTACAGAAAAAGAAAAAAAGATTTAAACAATAAAGTACACCAACTACAATAGAATAAAATTATACATCAATAACAAAAGAAAAGCAGGAAATAATTTTTCAAAGTGGAAATTAAACAATAATCCTCAAGGGCCAAGACACAAAGGGAAAATTTTTTTCAATTCAATAAACAAAGACAACATTTCAACAAACTTATAGAGTGCTATAAAACAGTGACTAGGAAAAACATGTAGACTTACATGCCTATATTTAAAGAAAGAAATATCTGAAATTAAGAACTCTTGACCTTAAAACCATAGAAAATGAGTAAAGTTAAGGCCAAATTTAGCTCAAGTAAGAAAATGATAATTACACTTGAAATGAATGAAACAGAAAATAAGAACAGGAAAACAGAAAATTCAGTAGGCCAAAAACTGAGTGGGTTTTTTTTTTTAATCAATAAAACTGGTCAATCTCTAGACACATTAATCATGAGAAATGGAAGGAAACACCAATTAGCAAAATCAGCAGTGGAAGAGGGTATGTCACTACTGGCCTCACAGAAGTGGGAAGAGCTGTAAGAGCATTCTGTGAACAAATTTATAGCTGCACATTAGATAACCTATGACCTAGATAAAGTAGTTAAACTGCTAGAAATATACAACTTACAGAAAATAACTCAAGATGAGAAGTAAAATCTTAATGAACTCGAAGGATACTTAATTTGCCACTTAAAAACTCTGTGCATAGAAAAGCTCCACTGTTGAGTTCCATCGCTCCTTAGCATGGATTCTTGAACAAACCTTTCCAAGACCACAAAGAGGAAGGCACCCTCCCCAATTCTATAAAGTCGGTATTCCCTTCATACCAAGAATACAAACAGACAGGAGAAAGAAATTCAAGACCATTGTCCCTAGGGATACAGACGCAAACATAATCAACAAATCAGTAGCAAACCAAGTCCATTAACACATCCTATTTAGGGCTTCTATTACTGTGATGAAACACCGTGACCAAAAGCAACTTTGAAGAGGAAAGGGTTAATTTCACCCACAGGTCTTCTAACAGTACTTGTCAAAAGCAGTATGAGGGCAGGAACCTGGAGGCAGGAGCTGATGATGCACAGGCCATGGAGGTGAGCTGCTTACTGCTTTGCTCCTTGTGGCTTGCTCAGCCTGCTTTCTTATAGAACCCAGGACAACCACCCAGGATGGCACCCCCAACACAATGGTCTGGGCCCTCCAATGTCAATCATTAATGCCCTACATGCTTGCAGACAGCCCGATACTATGGAAGCATTTTCTCAACTGAGAGTCTCTCTGATGATTCTAGCTTATGTCAAGTTAACATAAAACTAGCCAGCACAACATATAAAAAGGATTCTATACTTTGACTATTCAGGCTTACCTCAAGAATTTAGACCTGGTTTATATATATAAATCAGCCAGGACATTAAAACATACTGCCACGTATATAGTCCATTGTCCATAGAAATGTCATACTACATTTCATCATCATATATGAAATATCCCAACAAATAAACACATATAATATACAGGAAATACATTGGTGGCCACTTAGAGCTGGAAGAAGGGAAGAGAACTGGGATTGCTAATGGGTATGGATTTCTTTTAGGAGTGATAAAAATATTCTGGATAAGACAGCCATACAACATTACAAATATATTAAAAACAGAATTATACATTTTTTAAAGAGTAAATTTTGTAACATATGAAAAACTATTTTTAATTAGTTTCACTTAGTGAATGAAGAATTGATAGCATTAAAAACTTACTGGTTGGTAGCATATAATGAAAGACCTGAACAAAATTTTAAATGTAGTAAGGAATTTTGTTAGTCCAGTAATCTTCTCTTTATCCTTACACCCAAAGGTAAATATGATTACTATCATTCACCAAGGAAGCCTCTCTTTACAGCAACTGGAGGCCATCACAGAAAACCACTACTAGACACAATTAAAAAAAAAAAAAATCCACATCATGGGAAACCCAGTCCTAATACATCACACTCCTGTGTCTATGGCTGGGGGAACTTTGTGGAAGATGGAGTAAAAAGATTGTAAGAGATAGAATAGCAGGAGGGCATATATGTATATATGCATATTGTTTCATTATAGATTTATTTGCATTATATTTGCATATGTATTTCTGCATTTCACACATATATATAAACATCAAATAGCAATTAGATGTATATTATGAAAGACTGTTAACTTTTCAGTGTCCTAATGGTATTCCAAATGGAAATATACATTAAATATTTATAGATAATATTATACAGCATTTGGTATTAATTTCTAAAATGGATAAGAAAGACAATAATGTTATGTTCTTACCCACTACCAAAAACCAAAAACTCCATAATGGAATCAGAATTAGAAAACAATTAGCTTAATATACTCTTTTATAACTTGTACTCATTACCTGTAGTCAGTCTTTATCCTCTAATATTTAGCATTTCTTGTTCCCTTTTCTTCATGTTATCTCGTACCCACTTGTACACTTGTCTGTGTATATACAAACATTATTGCCTAGGTTCTGCATATGAGAATCACTGCTCCACCTGAGCCATATTGCATGGAGGGACATTCATACAGATGTCTGTAACAATAGAGTTCTGACACTCAGAGGAAGAAGTTTTGGAGAATTTGAATGTACTGGGTCAAGCTCATAGTTTGCCCCTCCTGGACTCTCTGTTCAACTTCAACAGCCTTTCGTGTCCTCTTTATATCAGCACTTGTCACACATTAGTGTCACACCTTCTACACTTGATCCTTACTCTGCACAAATACTGAAAGTCTAGACAGTTCATAGCACTCATCTGGCCTCTCTACACTATAACCTCTTTTGTTAATGACCTGTCCTTGTCTGGTAAATGACATTCATTTTTATTTGAAAGAATTAACAAAAGCTATTGCTGTTCTCCAAAAAAAAAAAAAAAAAGTGATAGCTAAAAGATCTAGATCAGGCATGGTAAAATACAGTGGCTCCAATGGCCAAAAGGTGAAGTCCAGAAAACAAAGGGACAGTTGGGGGACTGTAATACATGCTCCAAGGTTAAACAGGGAGACTCTCCACAGCACCTCAGTACTTTGGGGGATTCAAAGATAGACTTATCAGTGCTCATGAAGAAACAAAATCCTGATTTCTATGTAGGACAATGGAGCTGACCACTAGGCTTTAGATATTATATGACTCCAAAGAAATGTGCTTCTGGGCACACTGTGACCTGAGCCAATCTCCCGACAATTCCACTTCTGTGGCTTCCTTGGTAAGCCAGACATAAAAGGACACTTACTGCAAGAGCAGTAGTGATTTTTCTTCAAGTCTGAACTGCAAATGTTGAAAAAAGAAAAAGTGGAGAGTAGGGGGAAGAAATATGTATAACACACTAACTTGCTTTTCCTTCTGATTGAAGACACTAAGGCAGGGCCTCATACAGGCCAGACTGACTTCTGACTCACTGAACACCCCAAGATAACTGAACTTCTCATCTTCTCACCTCTGCTCTCAAGCACTGGGAGCACAGAAGTGTGCCACCATGCTCGAGTTTTATACTGTGCTGAGGATCAAACCCAGGGCTTCATGTATGATAGGCAAGCACCTTGGGCTATCTACAGAACTTTCAAAATCTGGCTATGGTATGATCACAAGTTGATCTAACCTTTCCAGACCCCTGTTGGTTTCAACTGCCATTGGATTTTACAATGAAAAGAACTTCCCCATCTGTGGATTTCCTCTTTATTGCTATACTGTAAAATATTTTCCCTTGAAACTGATGCAGAAAGGCAACTCTTACCCTCTTGGTGGTGATGTCGCACACTCTGCCCTCATCCTGCACAGTGGAACGTCCATTGTCATCCAAGAAGCTTCTCCCTTCTTCCCTTACTGGAGTATGGGATACGCACAGGCATTTAGTGGCTCAAAGAAGAGATGAGTGTGGTCCTCTGGTTGCACAAGCCAAAGCAGATGCTGCTATAAAGTCAAGTTCAC